AGGATTTATAAGGACTACTAGGTATCTTATTGTCCTGTAATAAGGACTGTAGTAAATTAGGTAGGGAGCAAAACTTAAACATGTTTAAAACGTGTTAATAACAAGTTAGCAAATTGTAGAACAGGCTTAACTATATATTAGCTATTAGAACTACAGCCTAATATCTGCTACTAGGAAAAAACATTATTTTAGTTAGGTACTACTAGAGGTAGACTCTACATATCTATAAGGTCTTCTAACTAGGGAGATATTAAATCTTTCTAGTAGTCCTGCTTTATGTTCTGTGGTTAAGCTATAGTTAAGCTAGATAAAGAAGTGTGGTAGGCATATTGCAACCTATTCCTAACACGTTCCTAACATGTTCTAGGCGTTAATTATCTATAAGGGCAAGGATCTCTATTTAAAATCCTGTGTAAAGTTACCTTCTAAGTAATTATACTAATAGATATAGTAGTAATACCTTTTTTTGCTATTATTTCTTTTAGTATATATATATATATACCTCCTCCTCCCTTAACACTATCTAATAGTAATATTAAGGAAGTAGTAAAGGTGTTATAGCCTATGCTTACTCTATAGCTTATGCAATATAAGTTATTTATAACCTGTTATAAATATGTTCCTAACTTATTATAGCCTAGTTCCTAAACTTAACCTAGCTCTAAACCTATCTCTAACTTAAAGGTTTCTATTCTATTAAAGAAATGCATATTAGCTTTATAAATAAAGATAAAATCTTACATATTATAAAGCGTGAAAAGCTTCTATAGTTCCTATTTAAGAGTAGCCTTAGAGGAGTATACTATAAGTAGAGGACAAAGTATTAGGATCCTAAAACTATATATAGTGTAAGAGAACAGGTTTAGAACATGTTACTAACACGTTACTATAGGCGTATATATAGCAAATCTTTATATTAAGCTTAGGTAACTTAATTATTTACCTTTTTAAAGAGCAGGCATTAATTCTATTAGATTAAGACACATTCTAGATAGATATGTTATATAAGAGGTTATATAGGGCATAGGCAGAGATTCTAATAGTAATCTTCTACCTGTAGGAAAAGAAGCGTACGCATTAAGAACAGGTTTGTAACACGTTTCTAATATATTATAGTTATTACACTTAGCTAAATTATTATAGATAAGGATATAACTAAGATGTATTAAGTTACTATTACTAACTTCTTTTAGAAGTGTAAAGCACTTATAAAAAGATAAGTGTTATAGAGGTATATTTACTTATAGGGATTCTATAGGACTACTATTAATATATACAACAAGCAGATAACAGGCAAGTTTTATAGCGCACCACAACATGTTTGTAACGTGTTTCTAACTTGTTTCTAGGACTTAGGCGCTATCTCTAGTTAATTAATCCCTATAAGCGTAACTAGCGCTAGCAACTTTAATCTTATATAAGATTTTGTTAAGTACATCTATAAAGAAGTATTTACAAAGTATATAAAAGAGAGCTAGATAATACTACCTCTTTATATCTAAGTAAATTACTACAGGTATTAATAGCAGAGGAATACTTTTAGCTTGCTAACCTCCTCTTACGTAAGTAAACATATTCTAAACCTATTCTAAACGTGTTCCTAACTTATTCTTACATAATTAGAACACGAACCCTTTAAAGATACCTAAAACTAGGTAATCTATAAGAAAAACCTAGTAATTGCTACTAGGATTGTGTAATGCTATAGTAAAATATTAAAAGAGGCATAGGAAAAACTAGAATCTTATTTAAATGCAGCTAAGCAAGCAGGCTAGAAAGGATATAAAACTAGTAAGCATGTAAGTATTCTTAAGGCCACTTAAAAGTAAGTTTATAACCTATTCTTAACCTGTTAGAATTATATAAGTAACATTATGTAGTGCATACTAGATAGATCTATAGGATATAAAAGAGTTTAAAGCCTAGAGCAAGTTTAGAATACGCTATAACTATAGAACTCCTAATAGGCTTAAGCAAAGGTACCTTAAAAAGCTTTAGAGGGGAGAAAGTAAGTCTTACGCTAGCGTTATACATATTTACTAATTAAAACGTGTTTAGAATATATTTAGAACACGTCCTATAATAATAATAACACTCTAGATAATAATAAAGCAAGTCTTGCTATATCTAACTTAACTAGATATATCTTAGTCCTAATAAGAAATAAAAGAGCACGCTTAAAAGCCTAAAGCTAGAGGGCAAGTAGTAGAGTAGTATTAGAAAGAAGTTTACTAGCCCCTTTTCTATCTTCTCTACTACTAGGCTCTTCTCCTCTACTAATAGTAACCTAAAGGTATGCTTCGCGAAACACGTTTATAACACGTTCCTAACTTATTATTAGTCTATAACTATAAACTTTATAATAAAAGGCTCTTCTTAGTAATTAGGCTCTAAAGGAGAGAAAAGAAAAGCTAGAGGTAGATAAAGAAGAACTTGCATAGAAAAAGGCACTATTTAAATTACAAAAGGCATAGTTTAAACTTAAGAAAGAGATAGCTACTTTTTATATAAGGTAGGGTTAGTCTATAAATATAGTAACTAGTTCCTAACTAGTTCTTAATATATTCTAGTCTATTATATAAGTATATATAAGTAGATAAATATATATTCTTTCTTCTTCTCTTTCTTCTTCTTTCTTCTTACACTCTATAAGAACTTTTTATATTTAAGAGTTTAATACTATTTTACTATCTATCTTTCCTAATATTATTAGATATAACTAGTTAATATAGTCTATAAAGATCTTTTAAAGTTAGTATATAATAGAACGCGTTAGGAACACGTTATAAACTTGTTCTAACACTAAGTAGGATTTATACTAGTAATATATTAAGCTTAAGTTACTTCTATCTAATACTAGGGCATTCTCTCCTATAATATCCTACCTAAATAATAGGTGTATAGTATTTCCTAGCAAGCTTTTCTACTAGGCTATTTAGGCTAGATTAGGGGTATAGGAACTTTGTAGAGTATATATATATGCAAGTTAGAACATGTTTATAATATATTAATAACTATTTTAGTGTTACTTCTCTAATAGAGGTAATCTTATCTACTACCTTAAGAGGTATTATCCTAAGGTTTAAATAGCCCTAGTAAACTATAGCAGAACTATAATATAAGGCATTACAGAAGCAAGGATCTTCTATAGGAGCTTAATAGTAAATACTTAAGAATATATTCTAAACATGTTAATAATACGTTCTCTACTAGTAGAGTAGACTATACTAAGTGCCTCCTCTAAGGTTTAAGAACCCTCTAAGATAGCTAGTCTATAATAAGAAGTGGTAGCTAGAGTAGAGGCTAAAGAGGAAGTAGAGAGTAAAGAAGAGGAGCAAATAGTTACTCCCCTTTACACTATAAATAATATTTAGCAAAAGTAGTAAAAAGGAGATATAAGTCTAGTCTCTTAAAATATATTTAGAATATATTAATAATACGTTATAGCTAGACACCTATAAATACTAGATTCTTCTTTAATCTAAGGGACTACTAGAGCTTTATAATACCTATAAAAGTAAAAAGAAAAAGTTATATAGTATTAAAGGACCCTATAAAAGTAAATAGTACTTTACTTTTAGTAGATAGAAAAAAAAGAGAAGAGTAGAGAGTTTATTTTAGTAATTACTACTACCCCTTTAGGTTATATACTATTATATATTATTTATTAGAACCTATTCTTAACACGTTCTTAATATGTTCCTACTTATTGCTATTATTATCTCCCTCCCCCTCTCTAGTATCTTCTTTATCCTCCTTATCCTCCCTAGGCTCTATAAAAGTATACTACAAGTAGAACTAGGCGGTATTCTAGCAGGAATTAGCAAGGTCTATACTAGTATTAAAGTAACAGTCTTAAAATATATTAGGAATAGGTTAATAATATATTATAAATAACTTACTATAGCTAGGATAATTATAAGCGTAGATAGTATAAGGAACCTAATAACCTTAAATTCTTAGTAGGGTAGATATAGTAATAAAGTTAAGCTATAACAAGTTAGTAATATATTTTTAATAGGTTCTTGCAGGCTATACCTTATTAGTGTTATAGCTAGTGCAAGTCTTCTTCTAAATTATATTTAGGAGGGTATTAGTATTTGCAGGGGGGCCTATAGTAGCTGCTAGCTAGGCTTAGAGAACTTCTATAAAACACGTTAGTAATAAGTTTTAAATATATTCTAAATAACTTATAGCAAGGAGTGTTCTAGTAATTATATATAACCTTTATATAGAAGTCTATATATATTAGTATAACAAGTTAAGAATAGGTTAATAATATATTTACTCTTTACCTTGTAGACCTCTATTATAGAGGGCTAGCTAGTCTTCTTAACCCTACTAACCTTATAGTAGGCTATATTAAGCCTATAATCTTTTTTAGTATAGGTACACAGAGTGCCCCTAGTACCTAGAATAGCCTAAGAATATTAGAACCTATTTAGAATATATTTAGAACCTATTCTTACTCTATATAAGGTGCCCTTATTATTAATCTTAGTATAGTAGTAGCGCTCTCCACTCTCTATCTTAACTACCCTATTAGGGCTAACCACAGGCTATGCCCTAATATTATCTAGGACGCAGCTAAGGGCAAGGTACTATTAATAGTGCTTCTATAACCTATTAAGAACACGTTCTAAACATGTTTTAATCTACTTATATAGGATAAGAGGGATATATTAGTAATAGGTATAGTAGTAGTAGCTTATAGTATTACTAGTATAGAATATGTTTAGAATAGGTTTAGAACGCGTTACAAAATCTTATAGTATAATATTTAGTTAACCTCGCTTAGCTAGCTAGTAGAGCTTGGCACGGCCTAACCCTATACTAAATACGAGTTCACGCAGCGCTAATTCCATAGTCATATGAACTGCGCCCTCGATCCATAGCTTGAAATTTCAAGCTGTTTAGCTTTGACACAAAGGCCAAACTGAGGTATGTTTAAATCCTCAGACATAACTTAACTAACCTGATGTTAATCTTTAGTGATACTCCTACTGCTTAGGGTTAGGGTCACACCAGCGCTGCTGTGTCATGAATACCTCAGTCACGTGTGACTCTTGAATGGGCTTAGCCTCTTGGTGGTACTTGCCCATAGATAGCTCCCATCCCCCTAGACTAGGACAATATGATCACATTACACACTGCATTTGGGCCCTCCTCACCGTCGGATACTGCAAGCGCTATCAACAGTAAAGAAAAAGGCCGCTGCAGACAAGGAAGTAGCACATCCAAGAACCAAGTGGGACAAAAGTTTTGGTAAAGAGTGACATATTTGTTTACAAGTACAGACTGTGTTCGCCATAAATCCTTGTCTTGTTGAAAGACAGTAGCCAAACTCCCTTCCGACTCAGACAAACGAAACTTCACCATCATTCACCAATTTATATTCTCACAAAGGAAAGACTTTTAGTCGCCAGCGGGCTGTTCTGGTGTCAGTACATCACTCCGGATCAACTGTGAAAGAACAGGATTTCATAAACTTACCGCACCAGGTGCTCCGGGTCCCTCGGAGGGGCCGGAGGGGCCCTCAAGGACCTCGATTTGGGGCGGCGCGGCAAGTGTTGGCTCATTGGGTAGTGACGGGTTGCTGGGGCAAGCGGCCTGTGAACGGGCGGTTGCTGTTGTTGGGAAGTTTCAGGCTTTGGGGGCGAACGGCTTGGGACGGGCGGTTGCTGTTGGTTGGATAATTGCAGGCTTGTTGGGGCCAAGCGGGTGGTGACGGCCGGTTGCTGTTTGGGAATTTGTTAGCATAGGACGGTATAATGAGATAAACGTGCTAATACTAACCATGCTCTGAGGCTCACGAGGGAAAATAGTCTAATATCATACTGTCAGTACAGTGCAGTGATAGACTTAAGGATACCAACCATGCTCTGGGGCTCACGACGGTCTAGGTTGACGGTCTAATTAACTTGTTAGTATGGGGCGGTAATAATATAATAGTGCTAATACTAACGACAGTTTGAGGCTCACGAGGAAGAATAGTCTATTATGTCATTGTTAGTACAGTGCAGTGATAGACTTAAGGTCTGTCCCACGCAAGGAGACCCTGGTCATATACCACAAG